CATATTGAAACCCTCTTTTAAAAAAAAAAAAAAGTTAACTGCATTATTTCTCCTCTCTAAATTAGATTTCTAAGCTCGTGACCGGTTACAATATATTACTTATTTAGAAGCATTCCTGTTTAAAGTATTTTGATACTAAACTATGTTTGAAAAATACACTTTCAAAGCCTTGGGCTGACCTTCTAGTAAACTCCCTCTGCTGTATGAGTGTTGCCAGAGAATGATATTCTTATTAAATAGTAATTATTTAAAAGTTCCCTTTGAGATCACGTTTTGCATTGTTATGAAGCAGTCATAGAGAGATTAAATCAAGTGCAATAGACACTAGAAAAGCTTTCCATTAAAACAAGTACTTATGTAGTACTCCAAAGCACTGACTTCTGACAAAGGTCTTCTAATATCAGTGGGAACAAACCTGGGTTTGTCAACAGCCTTTGATAATTTACCTACTATGCATCGATTTATCATTTACAAGTATTGTTAGAAGCCACGGGATAGTTCTGCATGAACTACAGTGCACTGGGTTAAGTTAGGTTACATCTTGTCACATGATGCAAAGTTCCAAGAAATACGGAATAACAGAACACGATCCAGTGCTCACAGTAAAAAAAAAAAATAAATTCTTGTTTTAAAATGAGGAGCGAGAGACTATTGCCTTCCTCCCAGCCTGAGGGTGTTTTCACCCATTTCTATGGGTGAAAGTGGTCAGCCGCAGGTATTCTTCTATCAGCCTCTCTCTATTCAAAATGCAAACACTGCACTGCAGCCTCTTGCAGCTCAACAAGTGATTTGTTATACTCTCTGAAGCCACTGTGGAAAAAGGTTTGTGGAACTCTGTTTTGCTGTTTATTAAAGCACTGTTTGCTCTAGGCATTTTTGTTGGCTATGTAAATATTTGTAAAGAAATTATTCCGTATTTAATGAAGGGTGTGTATGAGAGAGTCTTCTGGGTGCTTATATTTAAGTCTGTATCTTCAGTTCCCTGAAGAACATATCACCTTAACAAAGACCCTTTTTATGGAGAGAACTATTCTTTAACTCATAGCTGCAGAAAAACACTCTTTTTTGAGAAAGATAGGATTTATCTTACTGCCAGTAAAAGAATTGTAAGAGTTTCTTCTTTTATTCCGAAGTCAGCTGCTTTTTAAAACTACTTTCAATTCTCTGTTAAACATTTTGAACTCAAAGATCCCAGTTCTCTAAAGTTTTTAACCCACTTGTGATTTCTTTAATGCAGCTTTAAAATGAATTATTTGACCTCATTTAATAGTGTCAAATTCTGATAAAAATGCATAAAATCTGAACTGCACCATAAATGCAGAGCAGTATTTGTCCTACTTCATGAGAAAACACTTTGGATTATGTAAAAGAAAATCTTTTAGACTGAATGATTTTAAGAAAAGAATAGACCTGTCAAATTCTATCAGCTCTGTTTACTCTCCTGCTGTCACCACAGTCCAAGACTGGAACCCACAGTCCCGAGTTCTCCATGGGGGAGCATCAAGGCTCCACAAAATGGGGAATGGCCTCCAATTAGTGAGTGGGAGGCTGGGGCTGTGCTGAGAATACTCTTCTGTCTCACTTGGAATCTTTCAATGGGACAGTTGGACGTGGAGGAGACCAGGCTTTCCTGCGAGTGTGCAGGAGGAAACACTGAAAAGGGAGGGGAGTGCGTGGACGTGTAAGCAGGGGATCAAATCAGCAAATACCGATAAGTTTTCATGCAGCTTATGCTTACAGTTTGAAACTATGAGATTTTTTTCTTTTCTTTTTTTTTTTTTTTTAAATGGACGAGGAAAAAAAAATCCCTGATTTTAGCAGATCTTTGAATTCTGTGGATCCAAAGCATCTATAGTAACTTTGATGTAGCACATAGAGTAGGGATGAGGATTAGACTGCTATGCAAAGTCCAGGGACTATTTGCACCATAGTAAAATGATTTTAGACAAATATCTCTTCCACCAATGCAGCTGTGGGATATAAAACATCCTACTGTCCAGGAATGATTAAGGGCCATCATATCTTCTCTGATGCCTACGTTTTTATGGCACTGTCACTGCCTGGCTACCAGTGCAAAGTAATACTTCATATTAGCAGATGCCTCTCACTCTCCCAAAGAAAATACTGCTATCTTCAATATTTTCATAGTTGTAGTAGTGACAAATATTTCTAATGAATTCATTTTACATTTCAGGGCATAAAAGTAGAGAATTGTAACACACGGATTTTTTTAACCCTTAACACTTTATTCTTGTTAATTATAATTAATAATCCTACATTATGTTTTAGTGTAAATATTTTGATGTTTAAATCAGAGCAATAGGCAGACTACAAGTTTACTATGCAGTGGCACGCTTGTGGTTATTTCAGCAGAAAGCTATCTAAATTATAGGAGCCAACTCAAGGGCTGCTAAATTGGTGGAGAGCTCCCACGGTCTTCAGTGGGCTTGGAGCCGGTCTCTGAGGAACAAGGTTCTTCAGCTCATGAACGCTGTGGTCTTCAAGCAATATTTTTAATTGAAATCTGCAATCTAGCCTTTTGCAGCCTAATTTGATTTAACATACATAACCAGTGCAAGAGAAGTAAAAGATCTACTGTGATGTACACAAGTGCAGAATGAGATTTAATATGCGGAGCTTGAGCAACAGAAGCCCCAGGGAGGCAGATGCGAGGCCAAGGTGGGCCTGGACTAAGACTGCAAAAACATTTACAGACCTGTAAGTTGTCTCCCAAAGAAGGCTCAATATTATCCTAATTCAACGTTCTTGGTTTTCAAATGCAGCAGCATGCTTATTTTCCTCAGAGACTATCCCATTCCCAAACTAGGTACAGTTATGTGTGGTTTATTACATATCATATAATAAATCATGACATGAAAAACAGGCCATTAGAAGGGAGACAAAGAGTAACTTGCTATGGATTATTTGGAATATGTGAAAATCCAAATTTAAGGAATCAAATCATCACTCCAGGTAACAATGTGGCATCTATATTTTGAAAGAAATAACTAAAATGTGTAATTCTATTTGAAGACATAACATTACTTAAGATGTAAAGCTAACTCTAGATCAACAAGATAAATTAACTTCATGTTTTGCAGCTCAATACTTTGTGTAAGGACCATGTTTCTATTTTTTTATATTACTATGTATTTCCAGTTGATAGAAGCCTTATGTAGTATTTTGAAGGTCTTGCAATGCATTTTCTATACATGTTAAACAAGAGTTCAGTTTTAAATAGATATCTTTTTGATCAAAAGTTGTTACTCAATCGTTAATCATTCAACATATTAGTAGACTATATCCTCCTTCACCCCATTTTAATTGTCCCTTCGGTTCTTAAAAAATTGGTCTATATTCATCAGCTCATTAGATACTCTGATTAATTTTTTGTTGTAATAATTACTTTATGCTAGCATAGTTTAGCGTAAAATCATATTAAGAAGCATAGACACATAAACACGCAACCGCCGTATTCCCTACATCCTGGACATGACCGCATTACATTGGTGAAAAAGGTGAAAAGCCTTCATCTTTATGACACGCAGTACATTTTAGCTCTCCTAAGTGGTAGTCTCATATCTGGTTTTGCACTTCGGTTTCTGGAGAGCAAGCTACAGCTCAGGACTCCTGACTGTCACCACTGGGGATGGATGGAGTCTGGGAGTTTGCATGAAGGACATTTCTGCAGACAAAAGGTTACAAATGCATAACTAACGAAACCGTAATTGTTCCTGAAGAAAATGTCAGTGTCCATTCCCTTGACACCATGTGTGTCTGACAGGGAGTGAGATAATGACTTGATGTGTCGGAGGAATTTAATCACAGTAGTTGCTTCATTCTTTCAAAAAAATGTGAGAAACCTCCTAGGAATCAGTCAAACTCAGGCCACTGTGGATTGATTTAAGTGGATTAGCTCAACTGTTTCCTATGCAGTTCCTGAAATGTGCTAATCGGTATTAATAAAAAATTGTGGCCCTTGCTCCTCAAATTGTCTTGCAGTTACAGGCAGGGATGGGAAGGACTGGT